GATCTGTGTATGATTCTGCCTGATTACCGGCTTTACGTTTGTTGGATTACCCCTTTGCATTGATAACCTGATTTGGACTGATGACTGTGTTTTGACCTTTTGCCTGCTTACTCGTCTCTGCCTTTTGGATCACCCTTGTGTATGTTGACGGATTGGACTGCTGTTGGGGTTTTGACTTTCTGCCTGGCCTAACGCTTCTGTCACTTAAGTCTGCTGTTAATAAACTTCTGCAAATGGATTCTAACACCACTTCAGCCTCGTTGTTACACTATACCAGAGTTCTCAACTCAAACCATCATCATAATCCACACTGAAGAGAGTGCCTGGGGTTAGTTATTTGCATAAAACACACACTAACATAAGTGTTTTCCATACAGCCTTTCCTTTTCCAGCCTTTCCTCACTCACGATGTGTGTGCAGCAAGAAACTAAAGCAATGCCAAGAGTGCAGTTCTCAAAGCTAGCTCAAACACAATTAATACAGACCCACCATTAGTCCATTAGCTCATAGTACTTTTGAATCTTTCTTCAGACGGGGAAATGCCAGATGATACTGTGCTCCTGTTGTGTTAAATAAATAACTTAATAGGAACATGTAATCACACTGTAACTGCTGTAAAGTATAATGTTACTAACTGTAGTTTTTCCAGCTTGCATTGTGAGCTTCCTAATAGAAGCCCAAGGTTTTCAACAACAGAGTCTCCTAGTTGATTCCCACTCAGGTTCAGCTCTCTCAGGTGTGATGGGTTTGATTTCAGAGCTGAAGTCAGGATGAGACACAGTTTCTCTGTAATTCTGCATCCACACAGACTGAAGACAAAAAGAGAAAGTTCATGTATGTTAAATTCATCATGAGTAAATGCCATACAATCATTAATACACCAGAAAATCAAATTATAGAACCATAAACCAAGACAGGAGGGTAACTTAACTAGGATTTGAGGATACTAGTTACAACAGAAGTCTGGAGCATCTTCACTCTCATAAAAAGTAAATGACACACTCATTGAATGAATTATAAATGTAAAAAAGTGACATTTATATGTAGTTCATTTGAGAAAATTAAGAAAATATTGTACACAAATCACAATTTAAAGTATTTTTAGAGTGTGGTTTACTACACAAAGTACAAATTGTGCTTCAAAGTTTAATTATTTTTCTACTGATACACATTGAATCAGTCCAATAGTTAAAAGCATGACGAACTTTCATCACACTGTAACTGATGTACAGCATAATGATACTAACTCTAGTTTCTCCAGCTTGCATTGTGGGTTCATCAGTACATCACTGAGGTTTGTTACTCCCAATTGTCCTAATTCATTCCCACTTAAGGCCAGCTCTCTCAGGTGTGATGGGTTTGATTTCAGAGCTGAAGTCAGCGCAGAACAATCTTCATCTGTCATGTCACAGCCTGTGAACCTATATTCAGAGAAATGAGACAAACAAACTATTCTGTTTCATTCAAATACCAAAACACAATTTTCTTCGCTTTGTGAATGTTACTGACCTCATTTGCTTCATTTTACAGTGTGAATCCTTCAGTACATCATATAATTGTGTTTTTTGTCTTGTGTTTTTTAGTTTATTCCCGCTCAGGTCCAGCTCTCTCAGGTGTGATGGGTTTGATTTCAGAGCTGAAGTCACAGCAGAACATCCTTCAACTGTCATATCACAGAGAGATCATCTTCACTAGAGATGCAGTATCGGTATCGGGCCGGATACTGTTCTTGTGAACTTATACTCATTAAAAGGCTCTGATACCAAAAAGAGATACCATGCAGTGCAAGTACTGTACTTATGCCAAGACGAAGAACATACAGAACAAACAGAGAGCAGAATGGAGACATCAGAGATTAAGGATGTCTAGTGTAATGTAAATGCATCTAATAAATAGGATATTTATATCATATTAATATTAATCAATAATTTTAATAATATTTATTGTGTATTGTGCACATATCGCTGGAAAATTTGTAGTTTGGTTGTCACTAGCAAAGAAAGTAAAACAATGCGCCTATAACTACTTGATGGTGTGGAGAAAGAAAAAGGGATAGAGACAGAGAGAAAGAAAGAGAGTGCACACGTCTGGTGCATGCACTTCATTGCTCATCACTCAGCACATAAGCATCATTTGGGTTAAAACAAAATGGTATATGCAAGTAGAAACATAATGATTTATATATGAGTGATAACCCACATCATTACAGGAAAATGGCATGATTTCTGTACTGCTGCACTTCAGAAGCTCTAATTCAAGGGTCACCAAACTCGGTCCTGGAGGGCCGGTGTCCTGCAGACTTTAGCTCCAACTTGCCTCAACACACCTGCCGGGAAGTTTAAGGTATAACTAGTAAGACCTTGATTAGCTGGTTCAGGTGAGTTTGATTAGGGTTGCAGCTAAACTCTGCAGGACAGTGGCCCCCCGGTACTGAGTTTGGTGACCCCTGATATAATTCCTGTGCTGTTAAATGAAAGACAAAATACGTTAAAGCAATAGAAAGAACAGTGAAAGAAGCTCATACAATACATTTTAACAGGCATAATTAAGTGTGAAAATAACTGAAGGAAACTTCTATTTGTTAATTAAAATGAAAATACAGGTATTGGTAATCATTATTTTTGGTGACCAAAGATGAAAGCATTGGTCTCGTTCTGGAAAAAGTGGTATCAGTGCACTTACTTCACCAGATCACAAAATACTCAGGCTCATCGTGAGATACTGAGTATAAAGTGTTCCTGACCTCAATATCTCCAGTTTACAGTGGTAATCATTCACGAGATCACATATGTGCCTCACTCCTGTGTTCTTTATTTTATTCCCACTGAGGTTCAGTTCTCTCAGGTGTGATGGGTTTGATTTCAGAGCTGAAGTCAGGATGAGGCACTGTTTCTCCGTAATACTGCATCTACACAGACTGAAGACAGAAAGAGAAAAGGCAATGTTGGGCCCCCCCAGAAAATTGTTCTGTTAAGTTATTGTTTACTCACAATTGTCATAATTCACTCTAGTGAATCAATGTTCTTTTGGCTAAACAATTACAATTATCAAAATCTTGTACCAAAAACAAGATTCTGCCATACACTGGAAATGTTTTTACTTAAGGCAAGACACAAGGCAATAACTTTTTAAGAATAAGATTTTGCTTCCATAACTGCTATTTTTTTTCAGAGAATTGTAATACAAAAAAAAAAGTAAAAACATACACATTTCAGTGTTTATTACACTTTATCTATTGGCATCTATAGATTTCAATTATATGATTGATTTATCAAATTAAATTGAAGCAATTAACTATGAAAAAAATTAGAATTCTGAATTCATGAGAATTCTGTTATATGACCCTAAAATTATATATTGACATCACCTTGATCTCCACCGATAAACTACTAAATGTAATGTAGAAATTTACTGAAGCTGCTTTGCAACGGTCGTGAAAAGCACTATATAAATAAATGTGAATTGAACTGAATTAAAATACAAGTCAACAGGGCAAAAGATGCCCCTTTATGGGTATATACATACTACAGTTTAGCAATATCACAAGAGCAAGAGTGGTTTTTCCCTAAAATATCCGCAAATGTGATATTGATTTTATACAACAGTTCAATAAACGTGTTACATTTTACACAAAATATTGCCAGTGTTTTTCCAACCAAAGCCACAGCAGAACTGTTGTGCCTTTCTGAAAACCACACAACAATGCCTTGTGATTGAATGAATCCAAATTGTTTAATGAATCGAGTAAGCCAATTATACAACCCGGTATCACGCCAAAGCGTGTAGCAGACACGCTGGTCCACTCGAGTATGCGTGTAAGTGTCACGCTTTGCCTCCTCTAGGCGTGAAAATTACACGCATGTATGAAGGTGAAGTTACCAATAGAGTACCAGGAGGGGCGATAATTTTCTCAATGCCAACAACTCCCTACGGACCAAATAGAAGCGATTTAGTGCATTCTCCAAAAATCCCCGCGCAAGGTAAGCGTATTATTTTTGTGTTGATATTAGGTCTTTATTGTAACTTTAGCAATATAACATCACCATATTAGGCTACAGACAGGTCAGTGCCTGGACGCAACCTCAGAACCAGCCGGTCACGGCCTGGTTGGGTCATATTTTAAGCCATATTTTTTCTTCGAGTGCGGCGGTCATTTAAGAAATCCTGAGATAGCTAGCGTCTAGCTAACGTCATATTTGCATGTGTGACTGTGAAGCTTTTTGCAAATATAACAATAATAATAAAAAAAGAAGAATAGTAATAATAGTATTATTGTGTTCTGTTTAAATAAAATAGTAGCCTATTTTGCACTGCCGGTTTTAGCGCTGTTTAAAAAGCGCGTCAAGCGCGTCATTGTCACAGGTTTTTTTTTATGTTTTTTCTGTTCTCTTATGCAGTCCTGGTTAAAATAGTTAAAATAGTCCAGTAATTAGATAATTATTCTATAGGCTAAACAATATATGCCACTCATTTCTATGAATTCTGATCAACT